TTTAATGGACGTTATTTTACGTTTTTTTTTCTGGCAACCCAGAAGCAGTACAGTATATAAAACCAACTTCATCTCAGTAAAGCAGGCTAGGCGGAATAGCGCTATATACTTATGCTTTGCAGTTAGTAGGCTTAGAAGGCTGTTATCATGATTAATCAGCTATACTAATTGAGAAGACCCAAGATCCAGATCGGTTTTTACATTACTGTGACGGTTGGGTTTAGGGTTGTGTTGAACGTTATTAACACACAATTAATGTTGAATTTAATTAACAATATAAATAATTTTCATGTTTAATCAGCTATACTAATAGAGAAAACTCCAGATTCAGATCTGCTTTTACAGTACTGTGATGGTTGGGTTAAGGGTTAGGGTAGGGGTAGATGTTAATGAAACACAATAATGGGAAATGTAATAAATAATATGAATAATTCTCTTTAACTTCCGGTTGCAGCATATGATAGATGCAGAAGGTCCCTAGTGGCCCATATCTATTAGCTGATAACCACTGATAATGGCCGTTCAATCGAGTGCTAACATTCGAATACATTGTTCTTAACCAGGTGGACCACGCAACATTTTTTGATGCTTGAGCTTTCAAACCCTTGTTGGTGTCTTATTGTATTGTTCAGGTGTCTTATATTCCAGCAGAACCATCGACAAACTGGTTTGACCAGCAAAGGACAATCAGCAAACTAGAAAGTAGTAAAATTCAAGATATTAGAATGTATATTGTACATTGTTATTAATTATTATTATTTTATTTAAGTTATGTATTCATTTTGACCTTTTAAACCATTTATTTGATTCCTGACGTTTCAATATTTCAGATTAAGTTTGTATTGTTTTCTTTATATTTTGTTCTGAAGTTCAAACAAAACTCAGTAAATAAATTTTGAAAGAAAAAGTGTCAGTCCATGTTAATTGCATTCAAAAAAAAAAGAGCACAGGAAAAATGCAATTCAGGTTTGTCATCATAAGCCAAATTTAATATAGAATGAATCTTTATTTTATGTTAAACCACCCCTTTAAGAGGAAAAAAAAAACTACAACATGATGAAATTAGACATGAGCATCCCATGAGCTCCTTTGGTCATTGAAAAAAAAAAAAATAGCTGAAAACAAAACTGGCAGCATCCGTGTAAAATATCAGCCTGGCCATGATGGATTGGAGGCGCCTTCCAAGAGGAATGAAATATCACAATTTCTTCCCTTTTTCTCTGGCTTTCTCTTTCTCACTCAGCCTGATCTCTTCCCCTTACTTTGTCCAGCCATTTTCAATTCAGCACACAGAGCCCAGAAGCAGGCTTTTCATTAAGAGCCTGTTTTCAAGTGGCAAGCTGAAGCCAGATCCATATTTCATTACAACTCCTATGTCTCTCTTTCTCTCTCACACACATACACATACACACATATTGTTGCATCACACAGCAACCCACAAACTCCTGACTTTAAATTGAATTCAGAGAAACAATGTGTTGCTCCATTTTTACTGTACAGCTGTGGCTAAATACAGTTGTCACAATTTTCAGAGCGATTCATCTCATTCCGTACACATACAGTTTGCTACTTCAGTTTTTTTTCTCTTTTAAATAATTGACAAACACTTTATAAACTTCAAGTATTCAATATCAACTTATATTAGATTTGCATGTTTGTTAATGGAGTGCTAAATATTTTGTTGTTGTTGTTTGTTTGGAAATTTCAAGTATTTAAAGTCCCCTTGAAATCAAAACCAACCATATTGATTTAGTTAGCTCACATTGCTAGTTTTGTGCTGAACAATTTATCTGTGCACGTCATTACAAAAAATAAAATGTTGTTTGGCCTTTTAATCTTTAATTGAAATTTGAAAAGGCACTTTCGGATTTAATTTCAGTTATATTCTCAAATTACGTTTGTCTGAGGTATTGGGCGTGACTAATATACTTAACCACGCCCCTCCAATTGTGAGTTTTGACAACAAACTGAAATGGTGTGCAGGAGGTGTCTTTTCAGTTGTAATAACTCTTCTAAAACCCAATTCCCTGATCTTTCTGAATGAAATGCTTACTTTACTACATCCAATCAGCTTGCATTGTAAAAAACAAGCCACACCTACTGTTTTCTCATTTAATATTTTGTTTCTCTAGGAACTGCATCACAATACAAAAGAAAGGTGGTCGCAGCTTCCAGTTTACATGGACAATAAAATCTATTTAAGCTTCAAATGCTTGCTAATAGAATGTTACAGTATTTGGACACTGACAACTTTCCTAAAACGCATCAGATGATTATAAATTGTTAATATCTAGATTCAAAGTTCTCAACAGATGGCCTGTGGGCCGCATCCGGCCCATTGCTCTTTAAAATGTGGCCCACAGCAGCGCAGACTGATCAGTTCTCATGTTGCTGCATATAGTGCAGCATATAGTGAAGCACAATCAGTTCATGCATTCCTCTTGAACCGTCCCGGTACGATGTTCACGCGCCCTTATGACAAATACAGTATACATTCACAAATAACGTGTTTTTCTGTCAAAAAAAAAAAAAACTGCGACACAGCAGCACTCACAAGTGGTTCGGCTATTTTAATGGTATCATGTCAACTTGCTACACGTAAACAGAAACGCACAACACTAGTCCCATATCCGAGTTCTTCTGATTGGTCCACTTCTTTGAAACTGACAATATGTGACAAATAAGTGCTGCTGTGGGTGAAAGTTGAAATCGTTTTATCTTCTCACAGCTTTTAAACATGCAGTGCTGCCAAACACTTGAGTGTATAACAGTCACATGTGTCCGTAAACAATGGAAATATGAGATATTCTCTCATCATGTGAGCTCATAAGTCAGTCTGTGAGTGTTCACTGCACACATAATATTGCCTAACTGGATCTGCTGCATGGATGGACACAGTGCTGCATATTCAGTGATAGAGATTTCAGTTTAAAGCTTACTGAATCTAAAAGTATATATATATATATATATATATATATATATATAATTGTTGTTTTTCTGTTGTTTTAGGAGAGGACTGAGATTCATTTATAAACTATGAATTCCTAATTATTTACTTGATTGCAACATTTTATTTTCAATTATTGTGTTTAATTTGTATCACAAGAAGCTCTTCAGCTCTGTAGTTAAAACACTTCTGCCTGTTTAAAATAAACAGAAATGGCAAGTACTGGAGATTTGTTATAGTGGGGTTTGCCTTTAGGCAAATTCCACTTTTGTTAATATTCCTGCAGTACCGTATCAGTACCAAACCACAATGCCAATACCGAGACACATAACGACCCATGACTACAGTGTATAAATGACCCTCTGTATCTCATGTGGCTGATATTTGGCCCTCAAGGCCACCAAAGTTGAGAACCTCTGATCTAGATCAGGGATTCTCAACCGGTGGGGCCATAAGTGGGTCTCAGCGGTCCTGCAGTTGGGCTGCGAGAAAGCTTGAAATAAACTTAAATATTACACTATAATTGTTTAAATTTCATTATTAATATGTCATAATAAAATAATAGTAGTAATGGCATTTCCAGTTTTCTATGATTGAACGGGCTAATTCGGACAGTACAAAAACAGCCTCGCTATTAATTACAAACATAATTGTGGCTAAATTTCCAATTGCTGGGCGTCAACTAGGACTACGTTCTAAGTTGTATAAAGCAAACAGTCAGGCAAATGTAAATGTAACGATTACTAGAGTTATAATATCCAGCTCGCGCGTGCCTCACGTCTGCGACTCGTACTGTATCAGAGTCGCACAAGTCCATTGATTCACAATCTATGTGTGCTCTCTTTGTGTGAACACTTTCAAATATCCTCATAATTGTCCAAATGAATGCCTGCGAGTGTTTTATAACATAAGCGCGTCCAAACAGGAGGATCTAGGACTCTGTGGTGTTTCAGTAGTGAACAGCTGTTCACTGTTCCTGTCAGCGAACTCCAATAATGTACTACAAACCAACCGCCATCAGATCGATGTGTTTCAACAGATTTAGAGTGTTTTTACTGTATTTTACATTTAGGGTCAGGTTTAGGTTGTTTATTTTAATGGATATAGATTAATAGATGAATAGAAGTCCGTCTAATTCAAAGCAGCAGCAGTTTTTTTTTTGCCATCTCCTGTAGTCTTGTCAGGTTTCTTTACTAAAGAAAAAGGTCCAGATGAAGGTTAAAGAAAAGGTCCAGATACTCTGCAGTTGTAAAGAATAACTGAAGTAAAGAATTCAGAAGCTTTGAACCTTTATGTGCATTTTTTATAATATACAATTTATTCAAATAAATAAATAAACAAACACATATACATACACATATATATATATATATATATATATATAAATATATACAGTATACACACACACACACACACACACGCACACACACACATACATACATACATACATATATATACATACACATATATATATATATATATATATATGCATATATATATGTGTATATATATATATATATATACATATATACATACATACATGTATGCATATGTGTTTGTTTATTTATTCATTTATTTGAATAAATTGTATATTATAAAAATAGCACATACACACACACACACACACACACATATATATATATATATATATATATATATATATATATATGTAGAAAAATAAGGAAATAATAGAAGGCAAAATAAATGTTTTGCTGATAAATAAAGCTTTAAAATAAGCATTTTCTCCAGACACCCAGTTTGGGTCTTCAAAAAACATTTTCGGAGAAAAAGGTGGGCCTTGAAGTGAAAAAGGTTAGGAACCCCTGATCTAGATGAACTGTTCCTTTAAACAACCATAAATAAAGCACAGCAACTTTGTCAACAGATGTTTGCTTGCTTAAAGTGACAAGACAACATAATGTTGCTCTCACGTGTACAGAACATTTAGCAGATGGTGATAGGACGCTTTTCAAACAATGTATGGAAAAAGCTGAATGATGAATTACAAGAAGTAAGAGTAAAATCTTAAGTTGGCATCAGAAATCACACTTACATGAACAACGTTGACATAATCATCATCAGACAGGGTTTCCAGCATTTCACTGACAGAGGTTCGGATGAGTTTAAGGGTCAGTCCAGACACACTTCCACTCCTGCAACACACACAAACACACACACACAATGCTGCATAAAGGGAGAGAAATGAAAATTCAGAAAACTACAACATAAAGAAGAGATTAACAACGTTCACAACCAAAAAAAGCGCATACACACAATACTCACGCATCAACAAGAATCAGCATGTCCTTGGGCGAAGCGGCACCTTGAACATACCTGGATACAAAGAAGAAAAAAACATTCTGGAGCACTTTCAAGGAGAATTTTAAACTGACAGAATAAAGAATAAAAGGCTTGAGAGAGAGAGAAAAAAAAACAAACGAATAGAAATTCAGAGCACACACACACACACACACACAGAGAGAGAAACACGTATTAGTACCAAGGTCGTCGGCGCACATCATACAGGTCGATTTTGCTGGGTGTTTTCCTGGCATCCATCCAAGGGGAAGCTAAACGGACAGAGACAGGATATGGAAATATGAGTGACCCCTGATCCCAAACTCCATTTGATTTGTCACATCTCTGTCGTGAGCACATCAGCGAGCATTGCTAGAAACCTTCTGGGGTAGGGGGATGTTTGGGGTTTATATTGACTGCCGAGAGCCGACATGCGGAAAGAAAGGCCCCAGTAGAATTTCACCTTCGATTTTGTCTCTTTACCCGAGAAAATAACCTGGTGCAAATGAGGGAGCTCATCACAGCTGAACATCTAACAAGACGTGTTTCTTCATAAATGGCATCCCACGTTCTGACATTTAGTGCAGCTGTAAGTGCCAGCAGACATTGTGATTTGGCTATAACAGAGTAATCGAGCAGTGCTCTGCCAGCTATAATGAATTGGGGTTTACAAGAACATCAATATTTTATAGCTGCGCGTGTGTCTATAAGGAGACAATCGATGCTTGGCAGCGCACATATTATTCTATTATAATGTCTAACTATTAGAGTCACATGCCGTTCCAAACCTGTATGACTTTTTTTTTTTTTTTGTAATAAAAAAGTTTGACAATCTTCTCAATATCATGAGGAATGAAGTTGTTAAACTCTAAATCTAAATTTATTTGGTATATTTTACTAGAGTAGATTGTTGTACTGTAGATTGACAACTGATCTGTGCAAGACACAATATACTTAACCACACCCATTTAATTATAAGTTACACAAGTACATAAACATACAGAAATAAACGTCTCAGTAACTTCCAGCTCAAGAAGATTTTAAGGACCATATTATGATACTTTAAAGATTCTTAATTTTATGTTGGAGTTACCTACTGTACGTTTGCATCCAACTGAAATAATTTACTGTATATAAACTATCTGACAAGGTCTTGTCGTTGATCCCAGTTGTAAGAGCAACAGATATCGATATTGATCATTTGGAAAAGTGGCAGAAGATAGATTTTTCAATGAATCATTTGTTGAAAAATGATTTAGGGATACATTCAGTATGAAGGCATGCGAGAGATCTGCAGAGTGGATGGCAACATCAACAGCCTGAGGTATCAAGACAATTGTGCTGCCCATTACATTACAAACCACAGAAGAGGACAAGATAGCGCTCCTTCTCATACTTCAGCCTCCACATTAAAGTTTCTGAAAGTATTCTTTACTTTCAGGAACTTTGATATAGAAGCTGAAGGTCAAGGTGTTCCAGGACTGGCCAGCCCAGTCACCAGACATGAACATTATTAAGCATTTCTGGTGTAAGATGAAGGAGGAGGCATTGAAGATGAATGTTTAAACGATGGATCTGCGACAGAGAAACTACGGTTTTAGAGAAACACTCATTACTACATCGTTGGTATCCTAAATGATGCATCGTACTATGACAGTTCAACCACTAGTTTTGTCGTTGTTTAAGAAACACACCCCCGGTTGTGTGTCTTCAGGTGACTTTTTTGCATCTATTTTGAGTTCTTATTACATAAGATGACAGGACATATTTCCAAAATGCATCTATTCTCTTCTTCTATACAAAAGAATTAAAGTCATGCAGGTGTTTGGAGTTAATTTCACACATTTCAGATATGCAAAACTGAGAGAGCAAGGTTCAACTTTGGCTAATATACTATTTATATGCACGTTTTTAGTAAAAGTGTAGCAATTATGAATCTGAGAGTAATGAAAATGAATTGAGCACCTCATTACTTTTCTCCTCTGTCATCATTAAATCTCACAAGAATACAATAAGCCCTCTGCTGAGCCACTGAGATATTTGATATTATAATTTGTTATGAAAATTTGGTGTAATTTGAGCTGGGACTGCATGCTATGTTTACCAATTAGAGATAGCGGAGTCTAGCAGTGGAAGGGGGGTTGTCTGTGTGTTTGTGTGTGTGAAAGAGAGAGGTAGGGTTTGATTGGAATTTGCATTGAAATGTGTGAATGCTGAATTAAACAGAAAAAAAAACACACTTACCAGGGTAAAAGCGGGCTAATCCAGTAGCACTGCCAAACACTTGCCAGAGTAGCGTTGGATCTTCTTCTCGATTCTTCTTAAAGACATCCTCCAACGCCTCTGTCCAGTTCAGCTCATTCAGCACAATGGTGGCTGGAAACACAAATATGATGTATGATGTTTGATTAATTTAATTTTGATTCTTTAATGTCCTCAGTCTACATCCTAACAACCAGAACCATGGCAATCAACCAAGGGTGACCTTGCTTATGCATATCTTTTAATTAAGGCTGTTGATTTGATTATTTGACACATTAATTTACCTTAATTAGTTATGGGTAAACAATAAGGTGTTTAAATTCATTCATTCATCATCCTTTGGCTTAGTCGCTTATTTATCAGGGGTCACCACAGCAGAATGAACCGCCAACTATCCCAGCATATGTTTTACACAGCAGATGCCCTTCCAGCTGCAATCCAGTAATGGGAAACACCTATACACTCTCACATTCATACACACACTCATTTACTACGGCTAATTTAGTTCATTCAACAAACTGTAAGAGAAACCGGAGCACGTAGATGAAACCTACGCCAACATGGGGAGAACATGCAAACTCTACACATAAATGCCGACTGGCCCAGCCGGGACTCGAACTAGTAACCTTCTTGCTTTGAGGAGACAGTGCTAACTACTGAGCCACCGTTCCGCCTGTTCAAATTATTAATACCATGAATTAACTCGACATTGGACCGCATCACACATTTCAGACATTTGATTGGTTATTAACTTCATACAAGGCAACAACACTGTGCGATGGAGCTTGTTCATTCATACATTCATTTTCTTTTCAGCTTCGTCCCTTTATTAATTTGTGGTCACCACAGTGGAATGAACCACCAACTTATTCAGCATATGTATTATGCATCGGATGCCCTTCCAGCTGCAAATTATCACTGGGAAACACCCATACACTCTCATTCACACTCATACACTACAGACAATTTTAGCTTACCCATTTTATCTATAGCACATGTCTTTGGACTTGAGGAAACCCAAACATCGTCTATGAACCCAACCCTATTAAACATCAGTTTGTAAATATTTAAAAAAAAAAAAAAAGGAAAAAAAATAAAAATAAAAATCACAGGAGGGCCGATAAATTTGATTTCAACTGTATAAATAACAAATATTGTTTTAATATTCATTTTTGTCAGTATTTCAATTCATACAGTCCATCTGGAAAGTATTGATAACGCTTCACTTTTTCTCTTTTTTTATGTCTTAGCCTTATTTCAAAATGGATTCAATTCATTTATTTTCTCAAAATTCTACACACAATACCAGATAATGACAATGTGAAAAAATATTTTTTGAAATTGTTGCAAATGTATTAAAAATGAAGAACCTGAAAAAAATCACATATACATCAGTATTCGCAGCCTTTGCCGTGAAGCTCTAAATTGAGCTCAGGTACATTCTGTTTCCACTGATCATTCTTAAGATGTAGACCTCAGAGACAGGATTGTCTCAAGGCACAAGGCTGGGGAAGGTTACAGAAAAATTTCTGCTGCTCTGAAAGTTCCAATGAGCACAGTGACCACCATCATCCATAAGTGCAGGATGTTTGGAACCACCAGGACTCTTCATAGAGCTGGCCGACCGCCAAAGCTGAGTGATCAGGAGAAAAAGGGCCTTAGTCAGGGATGTGATCAATGACCTGATGGTTACTCTGTCTGTTCTCCAGCATTCTTCTGTGGAGAGAGGAGAAACTTTTAGTAGGACAACCATCTGTGCAGACAGAAGCCACTCCACACATGGAATTTGCCAAAAGGCATCTGAAGGACTCTCAGACAATAAGAAACAAAATTCTCTGGTCAGATAAGACTAAAATTGATTTCATTGGAGTGAATGCCAGGGGTTACTTTTAGAGAAAACCAGGCACCGCTCATCACCAGGCTAATACCATCCCTACAATGAAGCATGGTGGTGGCAGCATCATGCTGTGGGGATGTTTTTCATCAGCAGGAACTGGAAGACTAGTCAGGATAGAGGGAAAGATGAATGCAGCAATGTACAGAGACATCCTGAATGAAAACCTGCTTCAGAGTGTTCTTGACCTCAGACTGGGGCGACGGTTCATCTTCCAGCAGGACAATGACCCAAAGTACACCGCTAAAATATCAATGGAGTGGCTTCACAACAACTCTGTGAATGTTCTTGAGTGGCCCAGCCAGAGCCCAGAGCTAAATCCTATTGAACATCTCTGGAGAGATCTAAAAATGGCTGTACACAGTTGCTTCCCATCCAACCTGATAGAGCTTAAGAGTTACTGCAAAGAAGAATGGGCAAAAAATTCCAAAGACATGTGTGCCAAGCTTGTGGCATCATATTCAAAAAGACTTGAGGCTGTAATTGCTGCAAAAGGAGCATCAAGAAAGTATTGAGCAAAAGCTGTGAATACTTCTGTACATGTGATTTTTCAGTTTTTTTTTTTTTTTTATAAATTTGCAAAAAAAAAATCACATTGTCATTATGGGGTATTGTGTGTAGAATTTTGAGGAAATAAATTAATTTAATCCATTTTGGAACATGGCTGTAACTTAAAAAAATGTGGAAAAAGTGAAGCGCTATGAATACTTTCCGGATGCACTGTAAGTATACTATAGGTCATGAAGCTTACAGTGACAGTCCAAAGAGAGTACATGAAGTAAGAGGAGGAGGAGGAGGAGGAGAGACACAGAGAGGTGTAATTTAGTCTCATCTCAACTGCTGTTAACAGAATAATTCTGCACTGTGCACAGAGGGCTCTCCATCTCCTCATCTGCAAACAAGCTGATTGACTTTATTACATCACCACTGAGGGAACCATGGAAACCTATAATCATCCTATCAAACCTTTTGCTTCTGAAAAGGCCGCGTGCAGATAGGCAGTCAGAAGTGCTAGTAGAGATATGCTAATCAGGCGAGAAAACAGCTCGCGTGTCAACAATTATTGTAATGAAGCATGAAAAATTCAGAGCTATAACAACCATAACTTTAGTTTTATTGACTGGCATGCAGCAGAGGCATTAGGGCAGGGCTGAGGGAGGAGAGGAAGGAAAATGTGTGGAAAAGAGAGAGACATTATCTTGAGCATTTTCTCCCCCCAAAAAGAGACAAAAGACTGATCAATGACCTTACAGAAACTGTAGCAAGAACAATAAATTGGTTACATTGGAAAATACTGCACTTACAATATTGTGTGCAAATGCAGATATAATGGGGTTCACATTATTATTATAGTAGATTTATATTATATCTTTCTAACCTTCCATCCATCTTTCTGTTCGGCTAATCTGTCTACCTTTATTTTTTGTCCATCTGTCTGTCTAGTTCTATCTATCTATCTATCTGTCCATCCGTCCGTCCGTCCGTCCGTCTGTCTGTCTATCTATCTATTTATCTATCTATCTATCGCTCCGTCTGTCCATCCATCCATACGTCCGTCCATCCATCTTTGTCTCTGTACTGTTTGTCTACCTAATCACTATGTATCTACCCATCCAATTATGTCTATCCACATATCCGTGTAATGTGTGTTTATCTGTTTGTTTACCCATATATGTATCATCTATCCACCACCCGAAAATGTTTACAGTTGAAAAGAAATAATTTTTAGTCTTGATATGTTTGATTTTTTTTTTTTTTTTTCGTTTTCACATATTTCCCAAGTGATGTTAAACTGACAAAAAAAAAAAAAAAAAAGTACAGTATTTCACTTTTTTTTCTTTGGGACAAAGTCTTTCTTTTTCTGGGTTTGGTTGGAATAAAAGCAGTCAGTTTTAAAATGTAATTTTAACATTTTTTTTGAAAAAAAAGTCAATTTTATTAGTCCACTTAAGATTTTGTTTCTTCTTTTTGATTGGCTACAGAACCGTTGACCAATTACTAGCCTAATTTACATTCTTGTGTAGTACCATAGATAAAAAAAAAAAAAGTTAACAAACCAACCAAAAAACAACCTACCTACCTACCTACCTTTCCACTTTTTTTCTTTTAGCTTTTTTTCTTTCCTGCCTGTGGTGGTGAAAACAATGAACTTAACAGTTTTGATGTCTTTCTCTGGATACAGCATTCCGGTGTAAAACATCTCAACGCTCTGAAGTATTGATCATTTCCTCAACCTCCTCTGATTACATCAATGCTTTCAGATGTGAAGGAGAGCACATTTGCCCGCACACGCTGTGAGTTGTCTCTCTTAATCATGGTTAAGTTTTTCTTGGTGTTGGCTGACTCCGGCAGGGGGGGGGGGGGGGGTCACCCGCCATCTTCTCGCAACCCCTAAACGATGTACTACTTTATCCACGGAAATCCAATTTTCTCCCCGGCAAGAGCAGCAGATCTGTTTTATTTCTGTGCGTCTGTGTGTGTGTTTGTGGCAGTGGTTCCGGGCTATTTGTGGTCTCTGAGTGTTTGATAGAGGTTGATGTGTGCAAACTTTGCTTTTAGTGTCGCTGGAGAAAAGCCACTCGGTTCTTAACGCCTTACATAGACTCAACAACCTCTGGAATTAATGGACATATAGACACTCCTGTAATATTGGACATTTCTCACACATAACTGTGTATGAGTGGGTCTGGCCGCCAGCTTGATTCTACACACGTACTGTGTTTCCTTCTGGCGCAAGGTCAGGTCAGACCCAAGACCACTGCAATTATAGCTCTGCCCGTTTCTGTCACTTGGATATTTTCTGTCTCTCTCTCTCTCTCTCTCTCTCTCTCTCTCTCTCTCTCTCTCTCTGTGAAATATAAAAGTTTAAATAACAATAGTTCAGCCAAAAATGAGAATTCTGTCATCATTTCCTCTGCTGTGTAATTAGTATGTTATGTTTCTTATCTATTATGCCAATTTCTTCCTTGCAATAAATGTATATGGCAAAAAGAACTGACAAGCTTCAAAAAGGAGTTTCCAAAAAGGTGGATGGATGGTTAGATGGATGGATGGATGGATGGATGGATGGATGGATGGATGGATGGATGGATGGATGGATGGATGGATGGATGGATGGATGGATGGACGGATTAAACAATAGAAAGAACTTTAGAATAATTGATGCAAAGAACAGACAGACAGACAGACGGACAGACGGACAGAAAGACGGACTGATGGACGGACGGACGAACAAATGGATGGATGGAGAACAAAAGACAGACAGACAGACAGACAGGTAGAACTTGAGATATATTATATAGAATGCTACAACAAAAGATTGAACAATTTATAGATAGACTGATAGAAAGAATGATGGAAAAATGAATGTATGGATGGATAGATAGAATAATGGATGGATGGACAGATGGACAGATAGAATAATAGAAAGAACTTAAGAATAATGGATGGATAGGACGGATGGAGAGATAGATAGATAGATAGATAGATGGATGGATGGATGGATGGACGGACGGACGGACGGACGGACGGACGGACGGACGGACAGACAGACAGACAGACAGACAGACAGACAGACAGACAGACAGATAGATAGATAGATAGATAGATAGATAGATAGAGAATTTGGTAGATGCTCACCACCACATGACCAGATAAACCCCCTTACCCAAAAGAGCCTTATAAAGCCTTGTAAATGACTCACAGATAAAAGTAGAAAGAGCAATATAGGATTGGGAAATGACTCAGAGATAATTGCATGAAATGGTATACAATTACAAGACAAGTGACAAGGAAACTCCCTTCTTAAATTACAGAGGCAGCCACCTCTGTCAGTGTGGAAAAGCTCCAACTTTTAGAGATTCAAGCATCACTTTATTTATGAACTGAGTCAGTGCTTTATTTGGCTCTTAATACTATGTTGTACATTCTGAATCATCAATGAACATTTGAACCTTCTGTGTTAGCTGAATTAAACATCAACAGTCATTCTTGGAAATTGTTCAAATACACAACAGCGCTGGGAGAAAAACACATGTCTGGGACCTGCATGTTTTTTTTTTTTTTGTTTTTGTTTTTTTGAGGAGCAGCAGTAGTTTAATTGTTCAGGACAAATATTGCACTAAACAAATATAATTTCCAGAACAACAAAAAAGTTAAGCTTTTCATAGTGATACTTGGCAACACCTTGTAAATGTTTTAAAAGAAAAAAAAACAAAAAAAAACGTATGCGAGCCGAGTAGTATGTCTGAATTCGTAGAATTCGAAAAACAGCGAGAAGTACCCGGATGACCTACTACTTCTGACGAGATTCTGAAGTGTGAACTCGATGGAAGCTACGCTTTCCTATGATGCAACGTCTGTCTGAGTTCCATTGATACTTCTCACATTCAAACTGTATGAAAAACGTACTATATTAGTGTTTCTGCAGGTTTCACAAAGTTATGTAAAAACTTATATAAAGCTAAACGTTAAAGATTTTTTCCAATGGCATGGCTGGCCCAATAAAAATAGATTTTAACTTGCCTCACTAAAACAATTTTAATTTAGTTATACACATTTTAACATGTCAAAACAAACTAAATCTAGTTAAAATATTTACAAAGCGATAATAAACTAAATGTATGCAAATTAAAGTCATTGTAAGAAAGATAATTGCACCAAATTGGTAAATAGAAAAAGTAAAAGTTAATTATTGGGGATTGGTTGGCTTGATTGGGCAACTTTACATACAGAAAAATTAAGACCCATTTAAAATTATTTAAGACCAACCACACAACATTTCAGCAAATATAAGACCTTTTAGGGCCTCTGAAATTTTAAGACTTTTTAAGACCCCGCAGATACGATATAAATTTCCAGCAGCCAACTCCACATTTAGGCTTCTAACCAAAGGCTTATTCGCAGCCCTAGCCCCTAGTTAGGCTTTTTGTACAATAATAAAACTGCACAAACATGTTAAAGATATCTTTTGCATGTGAGAAGTAGGGGTGTCAAAATAAATTTTTTCTTCGGTGCACCGCGATGCAGACGCGGACAATTCGATATCGGTTCAGTAATAATCATAACCGGTTATTAGGCCTATGTACTGACGTCATTTATCGCCATATGCGCTCTGTCGCAAGGGAGGTGAGCGCGGGTATTTACAACACTCAGGAGCCAACCTAGGGCTAGGCCGTGGCATAAGCAGTATAGGCAATTGCTAAGAGCGCTGTACATCCAGGGGGGCACCAGAAATGAGCGCGGCTAAGTTGGTTTTGTTTTCGACATTCCTGACACATTCAGTTATAGCGGCAATAACTCAAAAAACTCTTACCCTAAAAAGATCTAAAGTGTGTTTCCTACAAAAAGACAAAGCTGATTATGTTTTACAGCTGTCTTTTCCTTTTTTAGCTTGACATTACGAGCACTGCTCCGTTTAAGCACTCGCAGTATGTGTTTATCCGGGAGAGCTTGCACTGAGTGGAGCTCTCAGTAAGGGACCGTCGAAAAAGTGCTTCTTTTTTCGTTTTTTTATTTATTTATTTATTTTTGCTCAGCGCGAGATCTCCCGGCTAAACGCATATTGTGAGGGCTTAAATGTGTATGTGTGTGTGTGTTTGTTTGTTTGTTTGTTTGTTTGGTGCTGTCTATGTTTGTGTATGTTAGTGAATGAGAGACAGTGTGGTACTGTGTGTCTGTGTGTTTATACAGACAGCTTGTTATAGCCTCCCCCCAAAATATAACACTGTGTATGGAAAGCATTGCCTATGCACCGTGATGCACCGAAATATCGAATTAAAGCGAATCGATGGCATGATAATCGTAACCGAACCGAACCGTGAAACCAGTATAGGTTCACACCTCTATAGCAGAGTTGATAATCTACATCACAATTGACGTCACACGGGTTCAACCGCGCATACCGGTTGCAAAAAAAAACACTGTTTGCAATAGAATACATGTCGTGTTGTCCGGTAGGATGCTAAATACAAAAGTCCACAAATAAAAATGTTTAATTTTCCCGTACACCACACTGCTTTGCCAACCGCAGACGTCTTTGGTTAACAGCCATAATAAGAGTTGAATGGAGGGAGGACCTAGTTAAAAATACTCAACTCTGCAGTTCTCATGTTATATCTAGTAAGTTCACGCTGTGCTAAATCATACACATTACTTGTTTTTGATTGCAGCAATGATTTCAGCAAAAACAGTAAAACATGGTGAATTAAACTGTCGACACTGAATGCTTAGAATGAAACGTGAAAATGTAAGTTCACATACCCTGCCGTACAGGTGCAGTTCATGTCAGAATGCAGTTGTTTTGCTTGTTGATGATTACACAGGCCTTGTACAGTTCTGTCTTCCTTCCTTGTCTTTGACTAGGCAGAACCTCAATTTTAAGCAACTACAAAGTGTTGAATCTGGTAATCATGGAACATTATTTTGTGCACATGACCACACAGAACAAACTTGTAGGCATCCAAAGACTTGTAGGCCTTTAACTTCTCTATTGTAAAATTACTTGGAGTTTCAATGAGATGTTTGGCCATTTCATCTTATCAATATCCAACTGGGAGGGTGCTATCGCAAATGGACCTGTCCGATGAACGCCACTCACTTTAGCGTTAATTTGGCCGAATAACTGAACTTATCATTGGGTGACAACCTGTTATAATACGCTGAAAGCATTATGTAAATAATATATGTAATCAATAGAACTTATCTCAAATACAACAACAAACTCTGTACCATATCGGATGTCATTCCCTCCCTGTAAATGCTAGCGCTCCTGTTTTTTTTCTTTTCTGCAACCTCGCTGCGCGTGCATCCTCGATGTTTACAAACCGGTAATTCATCTACAGTTTAGCCAGCTCTGCTTAAATAAGTCTCCTAGGTGCACAAACTGCATATTATAAGAACATTTTAATATCAAAACATGAATTTATTGATACCGATCTATATCAGTATCAGCAACGAGAAGCACTTAATTAACAGTTATTGGTATTTTCTAAATGAAATTAAATTTTATAAATATTATGCATCCCTAAATAAATCTATCCATCTAAATTACACAGGCAGCCACATCTGAGGATTCACCTTTCTGCTTACAGACTCAAGCACCACTTGATCTCTGAACCGCTTCAGAACTATTTATTTTAAAACAAAGCAAACAGATCCTCAATATAACATAATGCCCAGCTCAAAGCAGACCTCTCCGACCTAATGCCATTTCAACTATCCTGTTTACCAAAGGGCACAATGGCTAAAGTAATTACCTGAATCTATTTGTCTTGCATTTGTGTGCATTAGTGTGAATATGACAAGGTCAATAGGGAAGGACCGTCTAACACAAAAAGAGCCAGACGCTTTCCCAGCAGGCCAACAGAGACTCTATAGCTCAGCCAACTTACTGTACAATGAAATCCCTGTTTAAAAGTACACTTAGGTTTATCCAAACAGGCGCACCTGCACTTTTCCTGACAAAAGTTTCCCCAGAGAGTTTTGGCTGTCAGATGAATTTTATAATTCTCCTCCAAAAGCTCTTTCAAAGACGCACTTATACTTAGTTTTCTAACTGACATCTATGGCAATCAGTGGCAGAGGATCTCATCAAATTCGCAGCAGTAGATAATGTGTTGCAGCGGAGCATGTCTGTTACTTACAGCCGTCATAGATGTCCGTAGGGATGTGCACAGCCGTATGGTTGTAGGAGGTGAGGCGGTTTTTGAATGACGGATCTTCTTTAAATTCAGGTCTGATCCGGTTTTTCCGTCCTTCTGTGTCATTGGTTTCAAGCTGGAAGAGAAGCAGCAATAAACATCTGTGGTACAGTATGGAGAATACAAGCTTTCTGCTAGTCATAAAAATGCAACTATTCTGCAGCTGTTTTCAATATTTGTTGTTAAAGTGATTAAGGTATTCTAAAAGTGGTTCTTAACTGCCTGGTCAGTTTGCCTTTCATTTCATTTCAAAACAAAATAAAATAAAATTGTATTATAACCCTTTCAATAAAAGTTAAATAAAATAAATAACAACAGTTCTATATAATACTTTATATTTATATATATTTTTACTAATTATTTGTATGATTTGGATAAAACACTTTTTAAAAATAATTAATTATTATTAAATAGTACTTTAGATAAAAATAAAATAAAATAACTATACATTAAATAAAAAAATAAAAACAACAACAGTCAAACATAATTTTAAATATATTTTTAGCTATTAATTTATTTATATATAAATATTTGTTAAAAAAATTCTAAAAGTGGTTCTTAACTGTCTGGTCAGTTTGCCTTTCATTTCATTTCATTTCATTTCATTTCATTTCATAAAATGAAATAAAATAAAATAAAATAAAATAAAATAAAATAAAATAAAATAAAATAAAATAAAATAAATAAATAAATAAAGTTAAGTAAAGTGAAGTAAAATAAAATAAAATAAAATTGTATTATAAAAACTTAAATAAAAGTTAAATAAAATAAAAAACAACAGTTCCATATAATACTTTATATTTATATATATTTTTAATAATTATTTGTATGACTTGGATAAAACACTATATTTTAAATAATTAATTATTATTAAATAGTACTTTAGATAAAAATTTTATAAAATAACAATACATTAAATTACAAAAATGAAAAACAACAACAGGCATAAATAATTTTAAATATATTTTTAGCTATTCATTTATTTATATATAAATATTTGTTAAAATATTTATAAATTATTATAAAAGTGGATTTAATCTTACTTAAAATAAAATAAACATCATGTTTTTATTTCTATATTTTTAAAACTATTTATTTTGATGATTTATTTTAAACAATGTTTTTTTTAATAAATAATCATTATTAAATAGCACTTTGGACTGCTGCATTATTCGGCATATAGGTGAACTGTTAGCTATTGCAACTTAAATCACTCATCTGAATAAACACATTACCAGAATAGTCAGTAATAATAATAAAAACATAAATGACATATATTTAAAGTAAATAATATATATTATATTTTATAAAACATCAGTATAGGATGTATTAATATCCCAATACATTTTCTAAAGGTACTGAACAAATAAAACCATTGTTTCTTTTCCCTTTGTACCTGTACTCGATCTATTGCACACATCAATGCGTTTTACACACACTCATGCTAATTGTCAGTTGAGATGTATGACAGTGTGTATCCGGTAGCCGAGCACATATCAACAGAAAAGGAAATATATGGTCATCATCCCTTCACTGCCTTATATTAATCATACATAAGACGCATGGTCATGACTGGACAGACGAGCACACGATATTCATGTTTGACATAGTATCTGTGTTTAACAAACAAATCAAACATATGTGTGTGTTTCTAGAGTCTTAAATCATATACTCACATTATCCTTGGCATTAAAGTAAACTATATCATCCTCCTGAAGAAAAAGAGAGAACATTATAGGTTTAGTATTGTGGCTACATACATTACATCAATTACACTTATTAGTTACACTAATATCCCTGTTCTTTCTAAATTTGATTTAAAACATTTTCATTTTATACTTGGAAGAAATTTCATCATTTTACAGATAAAAAAAAATAGAACATTTACACAAACACATGACTGTGAATCAAAAATACCAGCCGGATCTCACGAGGAAACGCAGGTATTTTTGACAGTTTAGTGGCTAATTCGTACGAGTTCAGTACGAAAATGTACGATTTTAAAAAGGAGGCGTGGCACCCAACCCCACCCCTTACCCCAACAGTCATTGAGTGATGAGCAAATCATACTAAATTGTATGAATTAGATCGTACGAATTCATACGAACTAGCCACTAAATCAAAAAGTTACAAATTGCTGTGAGATTGCGTTGAAAATACAGTGAAGCTAAAATAAACACAGTGTCCCACATAGGGATTTGCAAATTTCACCTACTATTTAGATCATTAATGTTATTGTGCTGACATTATTGAGTATACTGCTCATTTAATGCATTTTTAAGCATAAAACCACTTCTTCTTTGTGTAGAATGAGTATGTTATTCAAGTAAGGAGAGCATAAACTATCTCTGTATTGGTTTTCGTTTTTATAAGATGTAGTTTCATAAAACACACTAGGGGAGAGCGGGGCACAAAGTAACACTTTTTGGTTTTGGCCAAATAATGAACAAAGTAATGGGATTAGACAAACCCTATTGTTTCTAACAAAGCACAAGCTTCTCCTACAAATAAGCACTGGAGTTATGATCGCTGAATCTATGGTTTCTGTGCAATATTGTCAAAAGTGCCAGGAGTTAAAATGTTACTATTTACCCCACCAGTGGGGCAAGTTGTAACAGACAGAGGGTTAGCTGTACCACATGCTTAAAAAGGCAGATTTCACACAATTTATTTAAGTTCAGTTTACTTTAAATAGTAGCTATTTGTCCTTAGTAATTGGCTCATTTTTATTCGACATAGAACAGTATGTTTATTTATTTATTTATTGGATAAACACATTTGAATTTATTTGCATTATTGTCCATCATTATACAATGCATTTATTTCCATTATTAGCAATAAAATTACTTTTTTTTTCTATTTAAAAAAAAAAAATTCTATTAAAAAATATTTTAATAAAAAAAGTTCTCAACATTACACTCCAAATAATTTTGTTTGTTTAATTGGTATCCAACAGTGTGTGGCTTATTTGTAACACCCTGTTACAACTAGCAGTCACTTTGTGTTTTTTCCTCTTTCAAAATATTTTCATCTTTTAGCCTAGCAGTCAGTAGTCACAACAATATAAGATTTTACTTGCATTATTTCACAGATTTTTTTTTTCTAAAAAAAAATGGACAATAATAAAAATACTTATATGCTGCAAAAATGTTTTTTGCTTTGTTTCTCATCCAAATTTTGCCAAACATTTTCAATAATTGGCAGAAAGACATCTGCCGACACTGTGGTGAAATCCTTTGAAGCATGCCTTGGTTAACCCTGAGCAAATACCCTAAAACTTTGTGTTGTATTTTACCCTGCATTACTTTGTGCCCTGCGCTCCCCTAATAACACACAATCAAAAGCAAGAAAAAGTCAGCTGTATCAGCTCAGATTTTAAACAAACATTCAACAAACAGCACATTTCAGACATAACAGTTAATTTTCTTTTTGTTTAAAAAATGGAAATGGTTTTAAAAATTTGAGCATTTCAGAGCAACACTACAAGGTTTCTTCTCTGAATGATTTTTCAAATCTACATTAGTAAGACTATGATTTAGTGATTAGTTTATAAAGTCAATCACTTGCTTAAATTATGACAGAATGTGAATGAGTCAATGAGTGTACAGTATCAGTCATTAATTTAAGGGCAGAGCATGTCATTTAATAAAAGAGTTAATAAAAAGGGTTATAAGGCACAGTATGTAATTTTCACCAGATTTTGCAGAGTTTGCATGGTGTGGGTTTCCTCCGGGTGCTTCGGTTTTCCCCACACGTACAAAAACATGCTCTATAGGTGAATTGGGTAGGCTAAATTGTCCATAGTGTATTTGTATGAATGAGTGTGTATGGATGTTCCTCAGTGATGGGTTTTTGTTATATGCTGGATAAGTTGGCGGTTCATTCCACTGTGGCACCCCAGATAAAAAAAGGGAATAAGCCAAGAAAAAAAAATGAATGAATAAAAAAAGACAGATTTGATAATGCAGTGAGTGTAGAATGTCCAAGCCAATGGGAGTCATACACAATATGAACTGTTTTTCCACTGCACCATATTTTTATTCTATACAGGACATTAGTCATCTTGTTACATCCTACATGACTCCTGTGAAAATCAAACTGACCTTTTTTGTTTGTGCTTCGAAACATAAAAAAAAAAAAAAAAAAACTGTAAGAATACTCTTAAAGCTGGAGTAGTTTCAGAAGTGGACTCTAAACAGCATGACTAAGCCTAGTAGATGATCCAGAATGCAGGAGCACGTCTGCTCTTCACTCAACCAAACTCACACTCCTCCCCATCTCACTCCAGCAGCTTCCAGTTGTGTCCAGAATCAAATTCACGTTTTTATGCGGTCTTCTGGGACTAAAGGTGGAACAGCTGCTCCCTATACCTCAGTTAACTGCAACAAATGTTCTTGCTAGCTTGCTGTTCCTTCCCAACTGGAAAAAAAATTACAATTTACCCTCATTTTTACTTTCTATAAAAATGAGCTGCCAACATCCACCAAAACTGACCATTACATCTGTCTAGAACCCCAAGAAATGTCTAATCTGCAATTGTTAATCAAGAAACTGTGGATTCATCTTCAATGCCTCCTCCTACATTTTACCCAAGACATGCTCAATAATGTTCATGTCTGGTGACTGAACTCGTCAATCCTGGAGCACCTTGACCTTCTTTGCTATGGAGGCTAAAGTATGAGAAGGAGCGCCATCCTGCTGAAGAATTTGCCCTCTCCTGTGGATTGTAATGTAATGGAAAGCACAAACGTCTTGGTACCTCAGGCTGTTGATGTTGCTATCCACTCGCCCCCATACTAAATGTAACCCCAAAACATGATTTTTCCTTCACCATCCTTTCCTGATTTCTGTGAGAATCTTGTGTCCATGCGGATTCCAATAGGTCTTCTACAATATTTGTGATGATTGGGATGCAGTTAAACAGATGATCCATCACAAAAATCTATCTTCTGCCACTTTTCCAAATGATCAACTAGAAGTCAAGTTATTATTTGTTGAGCTTACAACTAGAATTGACAACAAGACTTTTGTCAGGTAGTGTACAAGTCACTTCAGACAAATGCAGAAATCTAAGCTAATTTATTATGATTATAAGATACATTAAATCAATTATGAGCTTCTTTCCATTTTAGTTGATTAGAGATATTTAAACCATTAAAATGTACTCCATAAAAAATACTTTGGTTAATAAGAGCTTTTGTCTTGTTTATGGTCCAAAAATCTACAAATTCTTGTACTGTTTATTTTAAAGCAAAACTCACAATTTTTTACTTACTTTCTAAAAAATAAAATATGTCTTCTTGTTTAAAAAATACTGGTTGATTTCAGATTTATTTATTTTTAAAATATGGACTAGAAACAAGACAAAACTCTAAGTAATATGTAATTTGTAAATATGTAATTTGAGGGGAAAGTAAATAACAATTTGCACAAAATTATCTTGCATTTCATTGGAGAGAGCCCATTCATCTTTAATACACTGTTTAACACAATAGCAACTTTTTTATCATTAATACAGGGCTGGGAAATAAAGTTTCTTATCCATTTATTTATTCATTCATTCATTCATTCATTCTTTTCTGCTTCACCAATCCCGTCACCAATCTGGGGTTGCCAGAGTGGAATGAACTGCCAACTTATCCAGCACATGTTTTACACTGCAGATGCTCTGGGAAACATCCATACACACTTATTCACACTCATACACTACAGACAATTTAGCTTCAGCCGAGCCAGCTCACCTGTACCACATGTCTTTAGACTGTGGGGGAAACTGGAGCACCCAGAGGAAACCCACGCAAATGCAGGAAGAACTTGCAAACTCCACACAGAAACGCCAACTGACCCAGCAAAAGCCTTAAACCAGCGACCTTCTTGCTGTGAGGCGAAAGGCACTACCTTTAGTGCCACATCTTATTTATTTATTTACTTACTTTTAAAATTGTATTTAATGATATTTATTTAAATATTTCATTTAAATAATTATATTTAACATATGTTTAATATTTATTTCATCTAAATATTTATTTTAATATTAATGATTTATTTTAGCTATTTTCAAAATGTAAACTAGAATTCGTATTTCAAAACACCCTACATTAGACTGAAACATACGTTTAACTGTAGTGAAGTACACTACAGTAGTTCTAATTTATGTAACACCTAATTCGTTGTTGAAACTTGCGACCCTTTGGTTTACATCCTAAACTTGTCTAGTATGCTTGTGATGTGTCCTCAGAAAAACCCATCCGTCATGCAGATCATACAGCGACCAGCATCACTACAGTAAGCCAAGCCCGCACACAACACATGCTCCTCAAATCTGAACTGTGATGCAATTGCTCTGTAGCAAGTGTGAAACACATCAGGGGAAGCTAAAGAAAGCTTGATCATGCAAGGATGTACAGCAAGTGGTCATGACAAATTTGCTGATGTTAAACCAAAGTGGCATTTTTAGGCATTCGCAGCATATGGTGTGTGTGTGCGCGGATGTACTCTATGCCTCTACAGTTAAAAAATATATAAATCCACAGGAGTAATGCAGAATGTGTATCTGGTGAAATCAAATCTCCAGACATCTGCGGGAGTGTGGGAAGTAAAATTAGACCCATTAGGCTGCAAAACATCCCTTAAATAAACACATACGCACGTCCAGAGTGGACAACTCTTCAGACATGATACAATGTATTATTATAAACCTGTGCATTAGTCGATTTATTTGTTAACATGTTAGGATTTAATTGAATGAATCTTGATTTAATTTAAGTGAATGAACAGGCACACCAAATCATTTAGCAGTGCAATAAAATTTAGGTATTAGCTACTTTAAAAGCATCTCCTTCTGGTGGTCTTCGTTTGGAATGATCTAATAAGAAATATGCATAATACTTCAGATTTTATTCCTGTGATCCAGCAAGTCATCAATGTCTTTCCATTTCTTTGGGAGGAGAGGGTCCTTGGCTGAATGTAGGTACAGGCTTTTTCTGATATTTTGATCTGATATTGCACAATAAGCTCATGCTATTTACATTAGAATGCAAAAGGTGACAAAAGAAAACAATATGGAGAGCTGCAGCTTTAGTGTCTGCTCTGATAGCTGCAAAACCGCCCCATGAACAAGTCTGTGGTACAATCTAGACTGGTAAGAGAACATTGTGCTATTTTGCATTGCGGTTTTACCTCAGAATGCAATGTTTATATTCAATCTGGCTAAGAACACATCTTGTAATGTTTAAGAGATAGGTCAGAGAGCAGGTAATCTGTTCAGCCGCTGTTTTATTCAACCGTGTCATTAGGAAGGTTAGGTAGTTTATCTTTCATATTTTTAGGGTCAGTATTTTAATTAGTGTGCTGGCAGCATACTGATAAACAGTTGCATCACGAAGCCCTCTTGAAAACAAGTCTACACCATAAAAACAGCCAGACACACACTAAACAGACATCCTTGGTTGTCATTGTTTTTGTGTTGAAATATGTTTTTCAATGTGTCAATTTAAGAATAGCAAAAGTGTACTGAGATCTGTGCATTTATATTCTACCCGAGTGGCAAGAATGTATATCATGTAAACAATATCCAATAAATGTGTAATGCATGGTAGAGTAGATTTAATTACAATAGATGAAAAAATACAAATTTGTTATTTGCATCACATAGGTTCACACATGTGAAATGTGTATTTATATAGACCATATTTGACCGTACACCCAAAGTGCTTCACAATCAAAAAGTGGTGGGTCTCTCCATACCACCACCATTATGGAAGCATCCACTTGCATGATGTGACAACAGCCACAGGACAACACCGCCAGTGTGCTCCCCACACACCAGCTATAGGTGGAGTGGAGAGACAGTGATAGAGCCAATTATGTGGATAGGGATGACTGAGAGGCCATGATAGAAGGCCAATGGAGGGAATTTGGCCAGAACATCAGGGTTTAGGGATGGGTACCGAAACTCTGTACTTGATCTGTATCGGTGCTACACTATAAAAGACAGAAGTATCTATAAGCTCTGACGTTAACGGTTCTGCTATCGGTACTGGAAAATTATTGCTGAATAAACATTACTTACAGTAGTATAATTTAACTGAACAACTTCTTCAAATTTGTGATATTTGATATTCGTCTCCACATTTGGCAATCTCACATGAGAAATGCTCGTGTTTCTGGCGAGCACGTATAATATAAAAGTCTTTGCAGTTCTAGGCTGTGCGTGTGCACTCAACGGAGCTTACACAGCTCGTAAACTTGCGGAGTGAACCATTTGCACACAACGCCTTGTGTTTTCTAGTATAAGCGGAAATGCAAGTAATCTGGGTAAGTGAAAGTATCTTTCAAAAGTGCATTAACTGCAATGCAAAGTTTTTACTGCCTAGCTACTAACAGTAACTTTACATAATCCACATCATTATGCTAGCAGTCAATCACCCAAATTAATATATTAATAGTTAAATAAACACACACATTCTGTTACAATGAAAACAGAATTTTCTGCAGTAGCCCAAATAAATCTCAAACATTAAAATGCTTTTACTTCAGCTGTATTTACAAATATAGCCTATGATGAATAGCCTAATAATAAACTATGCTTATTAAGAATTATTTTTACATTGCAATATGCCCCAAAAAACACACAGTTAACTCCCAAAACAATGTTAACTCATTTGTGTGAATGTGTTACGAAAAATCCTAAACATTATCTCATTTTACTGCATTTTGCAACTCAAAAAGGGTATTTTCAACTGCAGGGAGCACAATTAACCAAGAAAGATGTTGATTTTTCTCCAAAAGAATAATTAAAAACTGAGAATAAATATATATGTGTTGTTCAATTATTCAATTATTGGTTTCGTTTAATTTTACAATAAAAATGGAATAATAAAGTTGTTAATTCTGTTATATTAGTTTTTTTTTTTCATAGAAAACACAACAAAAGAGTACCTATACTCGTTACGAGAAGTGCCATGTGATTTTTAATGACCACAGAGAGTCAGGACCTTGAGACAATATAGTGTCCCTTTCACTTTACTGGGGCATTAGGATTCAAACAGACCGCAGGATGTGCGCTCCAGCTGGCCTCACTAACACCACTTCCAACAGCAACCTAGTTTTCCCATGTGGTCTCCAATCCAGGTACTGACCAGGCTCAGCCGTGCTTAGCTTCAGTATAGTGTTTGCTAAAATTCTGTTGTATATGCATCACACAGTAGTAAAGGTTGCCAGATCTTGTAAAAGATACTGTAAATAAAAAGCAGTGCATAATTTAGCGTAAACCCCACAAACTGTACCTTGAAAATAAGCCATATACCAAAATATTGTGACCAGAAACTGGATAATTTTAACCGAAACACACGCAAAATTATGCATGATTTAATTCACCCCTATACACCGTTAAATGTGTTTCTCACTCCTGTAACTTGACAGTAAGTGGATAACATGTAAAGCCAACTGGCTGTGAAAGAAAATCTGATAGGATGTAATATAATATACATGTCTAGCCCTTTGTAAACTTTCAGCATGCACTTGTCGCAGAAGTACTTACTGCAAATTCATCTTTCCATTGATGCTCCATTTGGAAATTCTCTGCTGCGGTTGCCAAAGTCTATGAAAACAACAACAAAGAAATCATATAATTAGTTACACATTCATTAAAATATCAGTGATCAAGGAAAGTCATATAATGAGATATCTGGATTTATATAGTAGCATTTGTTATAAATGATGTATCTGTGCACTTTATTGTTTTGTAAAAATTAATTTGCTTTCTAAATCTTTTATCAAATACCATAACCTTCCCTGCCTCCTCGAAATGATTACATGGTCACATGGAATGCCTTTCAGGAGGGGCTATCGCGATGTGTCTTGTTTCTGCCCTGCTTTCCTCCTTCATTTTGTTATAAATGCTGATCTTCTAATAATCCAATTAGTTCCCAAAATACAAAATCATGCACTACCCTACTTTTTTTATTTTTTATTTCAGAACCAGATGTATGTCAAAATAGGGAGAAAAAACGAACAATCTTAACTTCTGTTTCATGGTGACTTTAAATATACCATTGACTGCAATTTTCCAAGTGTATCTGTCTGCGGACTGTGAAGGTGTGTAACTTGTAGTAAGTTAGAGGTGTAGATTTCACAAAGAGATGTTGTTGGCAAGATGGCGGAAATACTTAACAGAGAACAATTTAACCAAATGTTTTCATGAGGTTTCTCCAAATTTATCTACAATCAATTCATTTGATATATTATTATATTCATTCATTTAGCCTAGTCAGCGTTGGCCTCTGTGGCTGCAAATAACAGTACAATGGTGAGCGCCTCAAGTATGAAAGCCTCCGTTAATAACTGTGATGGTAAGGTTTAGGGTTGGGTAAGGTTTAGACGTTAATAACTGTGATGGTTGGGTTAAGGTTTGGGGAAGGTGTAGACGTTAATAACTGTGATGGATGGGTTTAGGGTTGGGGAAGGTGTAGACGGTAATAACTCTGATGGTTGGGTCTAGGTTTAGGGAAGGTTTAGATGTTAATAAATGTGATGGTTGGGTTTAGGTTTGGGGTAGGTTTAGACGTTAATAACTGTGATGGTTGGGTTAAGGTTTGGGGAAGGTGTAGACGTTAATAACTGTGATGGATGGGTTTAGGGTTGGGGAAGGTGTAGACGGTAATAACTGTGATGGTTGGGTCTAGGTTTAGGGAAGGTTTAGATGTTAATAAATGTGATGGTTGGGTTTAGGTTTGGGGTAGGTTTCGACGTTAATAACTGTAATGGTTAGGTTTAGGTTGTGGTATGTATAGACGTTAATAACTATGATGGTTGGGTTTAGGGTTGGGGAAGGTGTAGACATTAATAACAGTGATGGTTGGGTTTAGGGTTAGGGAAGGTTTAGACTTTAATAACTGTGATGGTTGGTTAAGGTTTGGGGAAGGTTTAGACGTTAATAACTGTGATGGTTGGGTTTAGGGTTATGGTAGGTATAGAAGTTAATAACTGTGATGGTTGGGTTTAGGGTTGGGATGGGTGTAGATGGTAATAACTGTGATGGTTGGGTTTAGGTTTAGGGAAGGTTTAGACGTTAATAAATGTGATGGTTGGGTTTAGGTTTGGGGTAGGTATCGACGTTAATAACTGTAATGATTAGGTTTAGGTTGTGGTATGTATAGACGTTAATAACTATGATGGTTGGGTTTAGGGTTGGGGAAGGTGTAGACATTAATAACTGTGATGGTTGGGTTTATGTTTGGGAAAGGTTTAGATGTTAATAAATATAATGGTTGGGTTAAGGGTTGGGGTATGTGTAGACATTATTAACTGTGATGGTTGGGTTTAGGTTTGAGGAAGGTTTAGACATTAATAACACTGATTGTTGGGTTTAGGGTTGTGGTAGGTATAGAAGTTAATAACTGTAATGGTTGGGTTTAGGTTTGGTAGGTATAGACGGTAATAACTGTGATGGTTGGGTTTAGGTTTGGGGAAGGTTTAGACTGTAATAAATGTAATGGTTGGGTTTAGGTTTGGTAGGTATAGACGGTAATAACTGTGATGGTTGGGTTTAGGTTTGGGGTTGGTATCGACGTTAATAACAGTAATGGTTGGGTTTAGGGTTGTGGTAGGTATAGATGGTAACAACTGTGATGGTTGGGTTTTGGTTTGGGGAAGGTTTAAACATTAATAACACTGATGGTTGGGTTTAGGGTTGGGATGGGTGTAGATGGTAATAACTGTGATGGTTGGGTTTAGGTTTAGGGAAGGTTTAGACGTTAATAAATGTGATGGTTGGGTTTAGGTTTGGGGTAGGTATCGACGTTAATAACTGTAATGATTAGGTTTAGGTTGTGGTATGTATAGACGTTAATAACTATGATGGTTGGGTTTAGGGTTGGGGAAGGTGTAGACATTAATAACTGTGATGGTTGGGTTTATGTTTGGGAAAGGTTTAGATGTTAATAAATATAATGGTTGGGTTAAGGGTTGGGGTATGTGTAGACATTATTAACTGTGATGGTTGGGTTTAGGTTTGAGGAAGGTTTAGACATTAATAACACTGATTGTTGGGTTTAGGGTTGTGGTAGGTATAGAAATTAATAACTGTAATGGTTGGGTTTAGGTTTGGTAGGTATAGACGGTAATAACTGTGATGGTTGGGTTTAGGTTTGGGGAAGGTTTAGACTGTAATAAATGTAATGGTTGGGTTTAGGTTTGGGGTTGGTATCGACGTTAATAACAGTAATGGTTGGGTTTAGGGTTGTGGTAGGTATAGATGGTAACAACTGTGATGGTTGGGTTTTGGTTTGGGGAAGGTTTAGACATTAATAACACTGATGGTTGGGTTTAGGGTTGTGGTAGGTATAGACGGTAACAACTGTGATGGTTGGGTTTTAGTTTGGGAAAGGTTTAGACGTTAATAACACTGATGGTTGGGTTTAGGGTTGTGGTAGGTATAGAAGTTAATAACTGTGATGGTTGGGTTTAGGTTGTGGTAGGTATAGACGGTAATAACTGTGATGGTTGGGTTTAGGGTTGGGGAAGGTTTAGACGTTAATAAATGTGATGGATCGATGTTAATAACTGTAATGGTTGGGTTTAGGGTTGTGGTAGGTATAGACTAATAACTTAGCTTAGATGTGGAGTAGGCGTAGATGTTAATAACTGATGTACGCCATCTTGTCGACAACATAGTTTTGACATTTGTCTCCATAACTTCAATTTACACCTCTAGCATATACACATTTTGCTCCATCATGTTACCGCCCTACAGCTATTTGTACAATACTGAATAAATACCAAAAAACAACGGTTTCTATGATTTGTTATTTAATACATTTGCCTCATCTGCATATGGACAACATTTCTGGCATAGTCAGCCATAGTAATGATGATATCTGGGTATACTGGATTGGTAATTTTAAGACTTATTTATTTATTGTTTAGTACATTAGACAAAGGCTCAATTAATAGACTGATACATCAAGTCATGTCACCTTGATTTCTTTATCACTTTATATAATGTAGTTTGTTTTAAAGCAACTTTTCAAGGTTGAGCAGGTGTATAATATAAGTCAGATTTCACCACTGTAGAACATATTCATTATACTGTATCAAGCAGGCAGCATAACAGAGGTGTATTTCTATTCAGTTCAGGCATGAGTCAGTTCAATATGATTGTCACTGCTGAAGGACGATGGACTCAAGGGCAGCTCTAAGACTAAAATATCACACAGATATCCTCAAACATTGGATTAATCAAATAAAATGCATAACAAAAACTAATTTATAAGAGGTTAGATTTGCTGTTCCACCACTCAATGCATCATCTGAAATCCCACTAGCCAAAAAGACAAGACAATACTGTTCTGGCAACCCTAAGGTAGCACCAAAAATATATGTGGGCAAGAGGTCTGACAGGATGGTGGGTTCTGTTTAAGAAAAGGGCAGAACAGAAGAAAATAGAAGGGAACATTCAGGTCTTTGTTCTGTCACCCGGAGCTCTCGGCAGCTCAACCCTCGCACACACACTCTCACACACCTACACACGGAGAGGGAGAGTCTTCCCTGAAGGAAACGCTACTGTAACACGGTGTGACATTTCCAGAACAAAGACTGAGTTCTCGCTCTCTGACACATATAGTTTTTCGGAATGTACTGTACGTTGAGATTTTTTTACAACAGAATGAATTCTACCACTATTGTCAGCTATACATGACCACGGATAACCTAAAATGTCAATGTATAACTTAAGAGATAAAATATCACTCTAAGTAGAGGGTAAACTAGCATTTTTGAGATTCATTTGTAACTTTTTATCTACATTTTTAACATTATGACAGAAGCAACGCATTCTGCAATGTAGTGTCACAAAATTGCCTACATAGCAATATTTTAATGATGTCCAACCAAAGACTATAAAACACACAAGACGCGTCACTTGTTTAGCTTTGAATGGGAAAAAGTGTAGTCAATATAATAATAATAACAATAATAATAATAATAATACATTATATCTATATAGGCGCCTTTCAAACCACTTAAGAACACCTTACAATTTGTCACAGGCACATTATAAAAAAACAAGACAGAAGAATAATAAACATAATATTAAACTAGAGAAACATTAAAAGCAACCCTGAACTGAAAGGTTATAACCTGGGATTTAAAAATGGAGATAGAGTCCACCAGACGAATATCTAACGGCAGGGAATTCCGTAACTGTGGTCCTATGCAGCCAAAAGCCCTGCCACCAAATGATTTCCTCTTCAAATTTGGAACTGATAACAGTTCAGCTGCAGAAGATCACAGTGAGCGCCGAGGAGAGTACCAGTGAAGAAGATCAGAGAAGTAATCGGGTGCAAGGTTGTGAAGAGCTTTGTACTGTAAGTTAATAGAAGAATTTTACATTGTACACGATAAAAATTGTACAGGAAACCAATGCAAGTGAAAGAGAATAGGGGTTATGTGTTCAGAAGCACGCGAGCGGGTGACTATCCTAGCTCAATAAAGCCATCACTGCTCTGAAATCCAAACCTTCCTCCAGAACTTTGTATAATTGTGCGTTGACCAACTTTTGAACCTCAAAAAGTTGTGTAATTTTATAAGACGGCCCAATGT